TGCATGGAGGCGCACTGGTTAATGTTTACAATCATACAGGCTTTGCCCCGGCCGGTAAAGTATCCCTGCAAATAGTGAGTGAGTTTACTCTCTCTGAATGGAACGTGCTGTCTGGAAAGACAAAATAAGAGGCGTTTAAAGGACAAAGGAAAGGAAGAAAAAAACCCCCAAAAGAATAAGATTTATATACCTGGCCTGCTGGTTATTTCTGAGCGCACTGATGCATTTTCCCAGGCTGAGTAGAGAGGTGTTGATGTTTCCTGCCTCTTTCAGCCGTTCCCCTTTATTTTGTGTTTTAGCACATCGCTCAGATCCGGCCAGATCACACAGCGCCAGCCTTGAACCAGAGTAAATACTTTAACAAACCATTCTGAAACACAACACAAAAATACTGCAGAGAAGTCAGATCAGTATTCACAGACTCACTCGCTGACTGACTCCACTCTGGGTATTCCCACATCTTCCACCTTCAGGATCCGGACAGAGAAAATACTGTGGCTAAAAATCAGGCAAAGAGGACATGAACTCAGAATAACACATGCATACAACACCCACTGCGTTAAAATGGATAAACAACAGGAAGTTACAGAATTTGTGTAGTGTACCTCCTGCTGGAGAGAATGTTGAGTTTAGTGCTGGAGATGCTCTGGTTCTTTTTGCCCAGTTTCATCACTTTCAAGGCTTCATCAACACTGCTCACCTGCACCCATCTCAGATCTAGAAAATTAACTGTTATGAGCAAAGACACAATCTGACAGACACAGCACATCAGTTTCCTTAAAACAACTGACTGAATCACCCTTAACACATGGAAATGCTATTATCGCTACATTTTTTTCTTATTGCTCTAGCACCAGCACCTGGCCAGTTTTAGCTATTACACATTATTCCAGGCAAAAAACAAAACAGAAGACATTTCAGTGATAACAAATGACATATAATTGCTCTTTGGAATGATTTAATGAAGAAATATTGCAGTGTAATCTCACTCTTCTCGCTCAAACAGCATATGGTTCTAGGGTCATGGTCTGCATATGTTAGATTCTCAGGGAACACATGAACTGATAAAATGCATAACTTGAACGTCTCTTTGGATAAAATCATCTGTCAAATGCATAAAGGAGAAATATATATATATATATATATATATATATATATATATATATGAAAATGCACCCTTACAACATGCATTATTTTTGTTGTTATATGCAAAACTTTATTACAGCAGGCCAGGGTTCAACTTTGGCTTGGATGAACCATCAGCTCCATGGAAACATTGTAACGATTTAATGACAATAAATATATTACAGAAACAGATGCTACTTTACCTTTGATGAATGAGTTCCCTTTGACATCCTGACAAAGACGGAGGTTGGTTCTCCGTAAAGCATTGTTTGAATGCTGTTCTAGCAAGTCGTGGATGTTCTCATTGTAGATCTCGCAGAATGAGACCCAAATTGAAAACTTGGTGTGTATGTCCATATCCACAACCAAACTCCTCTCATTCACTGCAGAGCTTATATCACATAAAGTGGAACCATCTAACAGGGAACCAGAAAGTTATGTGTCAGCCAGACAAACAACAAACAGACTGCCAAGCACAACCTTAGGTGTAAAAAAATAAATAAAAATTCTCTTTACCTTCAAGATCAGACTTCGAGCTATGGCAAGACGTGCTCTTCTGTGCATCAGTCTAAAGAGAAGACAAAAAACTAATAGAGTCAAATGAAACACCCCTGAAAAACAGAGGTTGTTCAACTCACTCTGCCATTACAGTACCTCTTTAAAAAGCTTGAGCAGGTTGCGTTTGCCAGCTGCTTCCTCGTTTTGCTGCTCTTTGGTGAGCCTGATGAAATCCCGGCACCTCTGGGGTTTTAGGCACATCTGGTTGAAGATGCGACCATCCAGACTACTGAAGATCATGTTGAGGGAACGAGGCAAGATGCCTGGATCAGTATCTGGACCTAATACATTAAAACACAATCAGGACATAAACCTTGAATATGAGTATTTTGCAAAAGCAAAATCACAAATTGTGAACAATTCATCCATGCATGCTTTGTTTAAATATTTTTTGTGACCTTGTAAGTACTAATCAAAATGCCATAACACACATTTAGATCTGCCTCTATTCAATTAACAACCAATGGATAGAAGCATTGGATAGAATGGAGTGTCCCTGCCCTTCTTTTTATTTTTAATACAACATTTTGAACATGATTCGACGCTCCTTCTGTTTGCTTCTTCTGCATTCACACAGACACTATTTTACAAGGTTGGTCTGATCAAAACTGACCTTAATTTACTGACCCTACTTTACATTCCTGACCTTTATTGTGAAAGATTCATTAAGTGCACTCTACTTCAAAGAAAAAAAAATATTTGTAATCTTTCATTTAAATATAGCAACTTTTTGCCATTAAAATGGGTTTTGGAGCATTAACACATTGACTTTTAAGCTCTATTGACAACATTTGTGACATTATGTCAATTACAACAGAAAATAATTCAGTCTATCAATACAATAAGATAAAAAATACAAACCTAAAAAAGTGAAGGTCTTCCCAGCATTAGTGACACCATATGTAAAGACCAGAGAATTTTGCCCCTCTAGCACATCCCTCACAAGACCCTTCACTGTGCCATCAAACATCTCCTCCTGTGTAGTGTCTGGACCATAAACCTAAAAATACCACAATGTTAATATGACCTTGTGAATAATCTGTCATACAAGACCAAGTTATAAGCATGACTCAAGAGAGAGCACAACATTTGACCTCAAACAGTATTTCCAAAGACAAATTTGAAGATTCTTCAGGGTGGTCAGAGGGAAAACTACTGCCTCACATGATCAGTCACGATCTAGACCAGGGGTGTCCAAACTCGGCCCTGGAGGGCCGGTGTCCTGCACAGTTTAGCTCCAACTTGTCTCACACACCTGCCTGGAAGTTTCTAGTATGCCTAGTAAGACCTTGATTAGTTGGTTCAGGTGTGTTTAATTGGGGTTGGAGCTAAACTTTGCCGGATAGTGGCCCTCCAGGAACAGGATTGTACACCCCTGATCTAGACTCTGTGTGCTGATGGGTCTGCTTGCCTGAGAGAACTGGAAACGTTGAGCTGTAACTGGCATTGACTTATCGCTGAGCCTGGCAGAAAGAGATGATTGTGGAGCTTTGAGGAGCACAGTCTCTGGAGGCTGAATAGCCACACAGTCCTTTAAAAACACAGAGAAAGCACAGACTAATCATTTTATTTAGAGGCAATATTTGAAACAGATCTTCAGGGGCATTTACCCTTTAAAAATATTTTTCCTAACAAAATAATACATTTCTGCATGAGGGTCTGCATTTTAGGGCACTGAAAATGTGTGCTGTATCCCTTAACCATTTATTCCTTATTTTCACCTGTGATTCTCCATTCTCAATCTCAGCTGTTGAAAATGGTCTTATCCTAAGATACACCTTCAAGTGTTCCTTCTCCAGGTCAGACGGGTCCTTCAAAAGAAACATCAAGGCTCAAAACATTTCTGATGATTATTTCATAAATCACAATGTACAAATCACACAGGGTCCTGTAGTAATGTTCATAAAGTCATCTTACCTGGAAATCTGAACACTCGCTGAACTCCGAGGACAGATTTCTCCTTAAATCTTCAACAACTATCGTCTCCGGTCTTGCCTTCTCATCCTTTAGCCCTGACTCCATCATATTGCTCTAAGAAAACATGAGAAGACATAAAAGAGGAGGATAAAATAACAGCCTCTGAGATACAGAGCATACTTCTGACAACCCTTTAATTACATCTGATAGTAATAACACATTTTTATTTTTGCATCGTGTCAATTGTATAATCTTATGTTAATTTTAACAGACAATTACACAGTTTTTATAGATATTTTATAAGTAAACCTGGCACAACAAAAAATGACATTAAGACCCACCCGAACTCATAACCTCAACCTCTCACAAAAAAGAACAGGACAGCAAAACATGCGCATTAAAACAAGTTAATTTAGTTGACTTACATGATTGTCAAAGGATAAAGTGTGTATTATATTGCCTTTAACTTCGCGCGTACTTATTTTCAAATTCCACCAATCGGATAAGCAAGAGCAACTGCAAAGGCTGCTGGGAGTGCGTGCTCGTGCACGTCACAGTGACGTTATAAATGCGCAGAAGTTGGACTGCGCATTTCTTAGAATCAGATTGCTGCTTGTTTTTAGTGTTTGGTTTGCGTTTTCGATTTATTGTTTTTATGCTGTGTTTTTTAAGTGTATTTTTTTTTATTCGTAGAAATACGCTTTTTAATAATGCATATTCTATATACAAGAATAAATCATAACATATACAAATAAAAACATTACCACATTAAAATACCAAACCAAAGTACAATGTAAAGTAATTAAATTAGTAAGTAAAAAAAGATAATAAGCGAGCAAGTAGATAGAAATAGGATAGGATAAGAAAAAAGGGTGCGCAAATCATTAAGAAAGAACATCAAACATGGTATACTATGACTAGATCACCTTATTAATAGATGTTGAGGCCTAAATACAAACTCAGTTCTTGCTTGGAGACATTAAAGTGGCATGTACAGTTTGTGTAGGCTATATAAAGAATATAAAACTTCCCAATAAACCAAATTAAGTTTATGCTGTCCATATTTTTGTCATTAACATAAAAACCAAAAGAATATGTCTAATATAAAGAAAACGCACATAAAACGTTCGGGAAACACTTGGTGACTCGTACCTAAACACTTTATTCACATTTGATTAAAATGATTCACAATTATTTTAAGGGTTTAAAAGAAAGAATTACAAAACACATTTACCAATGCACGCTTCATAAGGGATTTCCATGTACCCAGTGCCAAAGTCCGCACATAAAACGTTCGGGAAACACTTGGTGACTCGTACCTAAACACTTTATTCACATTTGATTAAAATGATTCACAATTACTTTTAAGGGTTTAAAAGAAAGAATTACAAAACACATTTACCAATGCACGTTTCATAAGGGATTTCCATGTACCCAGTGCCAAAGTTTTTCACAAATCCAGTCCAAAATTACAAAACAATTACAATAATATCCATCATAAACATTCTCAGACCAGCATTCACATTCTGTTCCTTTTCTGAACATTTACAGTTCCGCCTCCAGTCTGTCCAGACATTTCCCCAGTAGATCAAACTGCCATGGACATTTTTTAAATGCAGTCACAAGTTATGAAATTAAAATAATATTAAATAATTACCCTGAACAAGCAAACCAACATACAACCACTCACACGTGTTCATGTTTTGTGCCACTCACCGAAGATTCTTTGCTCTCAAAATCAAGTGAGACAAGTGAGAAAACAATATTTACAAATAACCTCATCAAAATTTCAGACGCTCTATCGCCAGCAAATAGCGTCATCATTAAGCAAATTGCAAGGTACTGTTCAGTTTAATGTTTAACATGTAAGAAAGAAAGAAACAAAGAAAGAAAGAAAAATAATTTTATAACAATTCAGCATTGGGACGGATGTTTAAAAGTTGTTCATTTGGATATGGTGCTTCCTCTTCATTAAAGTTATTCAGGATGTTTTTCACACCTTTTTGCCATGAAAGCAGAGTCTCCATTGGTGTCTTTCCATCCTGTAAATGACAGATAATTTTAGGATATATCCACTAAAATATACCCATTTAAACAGACTTACTAACTAATACTCACAGTATGAGTTCTTTTTGCACTGGCTATATCCACTGTCATTTAGTCATAAAAGAATAAAGCATTATATATCTTTTTGCTTATCTTCTGTTTGATATTGTGGAGAGTCAGTATTGGGGCATTAAAGGGGTCCTATTATTTATGCTTTTTCACTTTTTCAACTTGAGTTAGTCTGTAATGTTACTGTTTGGGCATAAAAAAGATCTGCGAAGCTACAAAGCTCAAAGTCCAATCTCCAAAAGGAGATATTTTATTTAACAGAAATCACTTTTCAAAAACTACAACGAACGACTCGTTTGGACTACAACGCATATTTTCCTGGATTTGTGATATCACAAATATCGACGAATGGGACGAGACCTGGTTGAGCTGCACTAGAGAAGGCAACGAGTGTTATCACTATGTCGGAGACGCGCTAGCTTTCCCAAGGCAGACGAACTTAGAGTGGTTACAATCATCCAGGTTTAAATCGTGCTTAAATTGATTTGATTTTGACGCAATATTTACACTGAAGCTCGTAGGCGGGTATGGTAAGGGCATTACATTTTCCAGACCGGGCGGCGAGTGCTGCCAATCACAACACACTCTGGCCCAGCTAACCAATCACAGCACATTTCATATTTCAGAAGGCGGGCCTTCATTTGATACAGGAACTATTTGAGCCGTTCATGCCAGACTGGGGAGAGAGGTGTTGTAATAAGGGAAAATATGTGAAAAATAATGTGTTTTTCGAACAACCTAGTACGAGAGCCTGTTCTAGTACACCCCCAAAACAAAATCAAGACTTTGTAAAAGAGTATAATAGGACCCCTTTAAACAGAATCATGTAGTGCCTAAATCTGTCTCTAGAGGGCACTATGTAAACTTCAATGTCATATAAGGATTGTATGTACCCCAATTGAACTTACATTGTTTTTGGCATTTAGACTGGCTCCATACACCATCAGCAGTTTTATCATTTTAAATCTATTTATCCTCACTGCGTCGTGCATTGGTGTGTCTCCCTCCTACACAAACACAATGCAGTGGCATTAGAGAAGAAAAACAAAATGTGGGACAATGCATTAATATCATAAATTTGCTATTTAAAATTACATAAAAATTAGTCAGTTTAACATACCATATTAAAGATTCTGAATGTTTTGGGAAAATATTTGAATAAAGCGCAAAAATAATTCTTACCCTGTCTTTGGCATTTACATCAGCTCCACAATGAATGAGACGCTCAGCACATTCATAATGTCCCGTCCGAACTGCAACATGAAGGGGAGTGCTGCATAGCTGTTTAAAAACAAGAAGGATAAAAATGCTTCATGATTGTTTGCAACAAAAAGCATGAGAATGATTTGTGAATGTTATTATAACTGTCCAAAGATCCATTTGGTGTCATATGCCTGCATTAGCTTTCTATCTACCTTGTCTCTGGAGTTGAATTTGGCTCCTTTATTGAGAAGCAGCTCCAGGGCAGGCAGGCTTCCACCTCTACAGGCCCAGTGCACAGCTGTGGCATCCAGCTATGAACATGAGACAGAGAAATTGCATCTCAGAATTATAATAAAAAATAAATGTGAGATAATATTCTTGTAGCACTGGTGTAACAGTCACATCCACCATCTGTGCTACCTTGTCTTTTTGATCCATGGATGCTCCACTCTCCAGGAGCTTCTGCATGATCTCTATGTAACCTTGGGCACTGGCTTTATGCAGAGCTGAGCGCTTAAACTGAAAGAGAGAGAACAAGTGAGAGTCGGTGTTGTTATTGTTACTAAAAGTGTTCATTTCTTGATTGTTAATTTAAATGAAGAGGATCAAAATAAAATGTAAATATTAGATGAAAAACCTAAAAAAACTAAAACTCTAAATGCTGGTAACTAACTACAGTAACTGAAATAAAATAAGTTTAAGTTGAAGAACCAAAATAATTAAAACTAAAGCTGAAATAAAAATGTATTAAAAACGAAATATTAAAATAATAATAATAATAATAGCTATACAGCTATATAATAGTATATAAACATACTGAAAAAACACAGGTGCGAGTTTAAAGGGATAGTTCAGACAAAAATGAAAATTTGTTCATCATTTACTCAACATAATGTTGTTCCAAACCTTCCGTGGAACATAAAAGATGGTATTTTGAAGAATGCTGGTAACCAAACAGTTTTGGTTACCATTGACTTTCATTCTACGGACTTAAAAACTGAGGCATTCCTCAAAATGTCTTTTTTTGTCATTTTTGGGTGAACTCTCCCTTTGATTCTGGAAGACTTAACAGCACGAGTGAAGGAAAGTGTTAGACGACACACTCACATGATCACAAGCATTGGGGTCTCCACCATCTGATAAATATTTCTCAACAACAGGCAGTTTATTCTCTGTGACAGCCTTTTGGAACAAAGTCTGGTCCACTGTTTCTGGCTGAAAAATGTTAGCCAGTAATTAAATCTGAAATCTTTATGATATAACCATCTTAAAATAATATAGCCGCATTTGTAACGCATTATGGAAGAAGTTCCTCACCAGGATATCAGGCTCTGGCTGTTTCTTTGATGCTTGAATCTTCCTTTCCTTTCTCCTCTTCCTCAGCTGCAAAATGTTGAAGAGGTCTTCAACAGTTTCTAGTTTTAGCTTTCCTGATCGGTCAACCTAAGAAAAATTAAAAGATAGATGTTTTTCATTATGTTACTATGTAAAATTGTAGCCATGTTCATTTTTATTAAGTTGTATTCATTCTTACATTGAGTTTGAGATTCTGTTCGCTTGGTTTGATGTCATTCAGGTCCTGTTGTGTCTGAAGTCCATCCTGTTTCTCCTGAATGATGCTGGTTTCATATTCTCCTGCAGCGAACACCTCTGCGCATGCACCTCCTGGCACCTTTCCCTCGCCTCTCTTCCCGGTGACCTGTGATTGGACGTGACACTCATCAGTCTTGGATTTCATATACGTATGAATTAAAGTCAATGGAGCACAAGCAACTGTGGTCTACTGTGACCACAGCTTTTACACACTTGGTTTCAAGGACTGAATAGCTTCCAGAGAAAGAAAAAGTGTGTAGTTTAAAGCAGACGTAGTTTAATTCAGTGATTGTGTTGGTGGGGTGGAGAGAGTGTTCAGCTGTTTTAAGAACCTAAAAAAATTATTACACACACTTGTGTCATTTCTGTTGTTTAAAATAGGAGGACAGGCCCATGCAGTTGGGTTATTCTAGACACCCTGGATCCTTCTTAATCGCTGACAGATATTTAATAACATCACACTGCTCTATCACCCATACTCATTCCTCCCCCACCCCTCTTTTATGCTTATAAGAGTATGTGAACACAAACATTTCCTCTGCTTTTTCTCTTGTATTTTTTATTTTATGCATTTTCTTTATCTCTTGTGGGCTTTCCTATTCTAACTTCTTTCTATGTTATGCACTGCCTTTATTTTAAGTTTTAGTAAAACTTAACCTAAAGTTAAAATGTTACCTTCTTTTGTTATTTTTTATCATAGAATATTTCTATTTAGCTTTATATTTACTTCATTTATTTCAGTTTCAGTTTTAGCAATTTTAGTATTTCATATGTTTTTAAGATTAGATTTGTCATCTTCAGCTGTATTTCAACTATATCATTTTGGTTAACAATTTTCTTAATTATATTTACTTATATCTTTATTTATTTCTATGTAAACATGCATTTGCATGGGATTTTTTTGCATGTTTATCTCGCACAAAATTCTAACAATATAAATCTTGAAGTTAGTTGATAACGTGTCAACATTCAGATGGGACTCCCAAAAAGCACTGCGTGCGTCAGCACAAAACCTACCAGCTCTTCAACACGCAGCAGTCCCATGATGTCTGCGATCTGGAGTTTGTCTTCAGCTCTCGGTTGCGCGTTTTGCTGTAAGGCTGTCAGTGGTGAGGGATGTAGTTCTCTCTGTGGTTAATTAGAGTCCCAAAGCGATCGGTGATGCCTGCTCAGCTCCCTGATGTTCTGTGTATCATCTCTCCATCACCTCCCTTATATAGCCTATATATATATGGTTCCAGAGTCTGGCGCGGGCCATTAAAAAGTTAGATCATGTTCCTTACTTTCTCTCCCCCTCTTTCACCGCCCACGGAATTCCAATGGCGCGAGACACCTTCATTCATCCTTCCCGAACATCGAATGAATCTCGCGCGAGCGATGACTGCACGAGCCAGGAACGCCCGGCTTCCGTTCTGCTATGGACTGCGCGGCTCGCCAGTAGCACCAGACCCCCAGCCAGGCCCGACCTGCGCACGCGGGTGAGCAACAGGTGCACGACTGCATGACTGCATAGTCTATTCTGCGCGTGAGAAAAGCAATAAAGAAGTGTGACGTGGCCCTTTTGTCAATTATAGTAAGGGAGACTAGTTGTCATACATTTTCTTAGGGTAGGTCTATTTTTTTTAATTCAGCTTGTGGCTGAATATATAGGCATATATAGCCTACTAAAGTTTTGCTTACAAAAAATAAGTAAATAAATAAATAAAAAAACCTTAACATTTCCACCATTATTGCCATTTAAATATAGGGTAAGTCTACAAAGTAAACATTAATAATACAACAATTACAAAATGCAAAATAATTCATAAAAAAGCAAAAATACAAAATATAACATAAAAATATCTATATGGAAGCCTGTTTCCACCATGGAATAAAAAAATTAAAAAGGTAGGTTAATTGTGACTTTTTATCTCACAATTCTGACTTTTTGTATTGCAATTCCGAGTTTACATCTCACAATTCTGAGTTTATATCTCACAACCCTGAGTTTAAATCTCACAGTTCTGTTTTATTCTCAGAATTGTGAGTTTACATCTTGCAATTATTACTTTTTTTTCTTTCTGCCATGGAATAAAATTTGTAATTGCAACTTTTTATCTAAAAAATCAGACTTTTTTGGAATTAAGAGTTTGTATCTCACAAATTCTGACTTTTCTTCTCAGAATTGCACAATTCTGAGTTTATATCTCACAATATAAGAACTGACTCAGGATCGCAAGAAAAAAAATCAGAATTGTGAAATAAAAAGTTGCAATTAACTTTTTATTTTTATTTATTTATTTATTTATTTATTTAATTTAGTGGCAGAAACAGGTTTCCATATATCTTTTTGGTCAAAAGAATATGTGAATACATAACAACTATGCAACATGTGACAACTAAATATAGGCTAGTATAGAACACTACAGTAGGCTTATGCAGTATACAGTACAGTATACTTTTTGTATATTTGTTTATGAAGATAACATTTATATTCAAGGACACTTATTTATTCTTGTACGCCTTGGGCTTGTTTTTAGTGTTCATGTCACCATGCTTCCTTTTGCATACTTCTTGTTAGGCAATCAAGAGCTGTTAACATTATTTAATGATTGATTTAACAGAAATAACATGCCAGCCTGTCAGGTTGCGCAAGTCTGGTGTGAGCATGACAGGTACAGAATGATGTCTGTGAACTTCCATTCACATGACAATACTGTGTGATGAGAGTCAGTAACATAAGCTTTAAATAGCCTCATGGTAATGACAGAGTGACAGGTTTGAGACACCTTCTCACCTCTTATGGACAGGGAGCAATATGTACAGATAAATCTGAGCTGATGTCATCTGTCAACGGCCGTGTTTTGCAGGTGCATGCTTCTGCAAGGCACTCATGCCCTTCAACCACAAGCTGAACAGGTGCAGAATTGCATACAAGTGTGATCTCTCATATGATCAGTTAGTGATACATCTGAAGTTTACTGTAAAGAGTGAGGAGCTCATCCAGTCCATAAGCCATAAATCAAAATCAATCGCAAGATTATTTGCAGTGACACTGCAGGTGAATAGGGTAAAAAAAATAACGAATAGTTATCGCCTTACCCAGCTGATTGATTAGATTGATAATTGCAAACATTTTTTGTATTACAAGTTTTCTAAAATGTTAGGTTTAAATATGCAAATGAGTCATTGTTTAATGAAATATGCGCTAATTTGCATACATTTCTAGTACAAAAATCTAAAAACTGGATGATGTCAGTTTCAAAATTCTTGTTTAATCTTTTTGACATATTAGAGTCAAATGTTTTTACAGAGGGAATTTTGGATATCTCATTTTTGTCACTCCATAATTCAGAAAATGCTTAGAACGGACAGAAAACACTATATTTTCACAATATTTGGGGGAATGAAATGTTGTATATAATCAAGCAAATTATATATGAACAAATCCCTCTGTAAAAACCTTCAGGATATAGACAGGAATAAAAATGTTGGGGGGAATAAAATGTTGTATATAATCAAGCAAATTATATATGAACAAATCCATCTGTAAAAACCTTCAGGATATAGGCAGGAATAAAAATGTAAAGTCTGGTGTGTGTAAGTGCTACTGAAGTGGAGATTTATGGCTCAGTGTAGGAGAAAAAACTCATTTTGAGAAAACGACCTTTAAAAATATGCATTGTAATTGAAATCTATTGCCACAAATAGATAAAGTGTTTTAAAAGAAACACTTACCAGTGTCTTTCGGATGTTTTTTTTCCACTAATCTGAAAAAACACTTTATGAAAAACCAAAAAGCCCAAAATCTCAAACTTGACAGGTGCATGAAAAACAGTGTTTTTGCCTGCAGTGTCTCCCCTTAAAAGGAGACACTTAGGCCACTCCACTGTCTAGACCTATATCTGAGAGTTACCAAAGGTCATGACTCAAGATGAAGAAAGAGCGACTAATGAGAGTGCATTTTGAAGTGTCTTGCTCAAGGGCAGAAGGCTGGATTGCCACTTGTGGTGTTCATACCTTTTTTACCATCCTCAATCTAAAAAAAAAGCAACTCAAGATGTTCTGATGTGATAGTTATCGATATTATATATTGATATTGTATAAATTTATGTATGTAAAACCATAATATATTAAATAAATAAAAAAATGTCAACAAAATTGATTGAGTAGCTACAGCAAAAAAAGCATGTTTTTTATGTACATATACCCCAAAAGTAACCCTATAATGGACCCTTTTCATAGACTGTGATGATGCATTTCAACTTTCATCAGCATCGTAAATACTACGTTTTTTATATTTTCATTTTTTAAATTTATGTACATTTATGTTCTCAGTTTTAAAATGTATGTACATTTATAACACTCTATTTTGTATTGTATTACCTTTGCATCAAATTGTGAAAAACTAGTTAACGCTGCTGTGAGGTGTTTCTAATAGAGCAGCTGTGGGAATGACTGTAAATTGACATCTTTCTCTCTTCTGACTGCCGTTATCAATCTCTCTCTATTTTTAGGCTACTGTATTTTGAAAGTTGTGAAAACACTATTGTGGAGTTTTTCTTTTGATATTTGAGCAAATGGGAACACAAAAAATTTGATGTAACCTAGTCTACCGTTCATCGCTATAGAAGTTTACCCAGCTATGACGACTTCTGAGAAACTTCTGAGATTTATATTTTAGAGCTTTTTTATGCTTTCAACAATATTACAACAATACAGCCAGGAGGGGGATGAAAATATATACATCTGGATGGTTCTCCCAGGAAATTGCATACTTCAATAATTTGTCTGTGATAGCAGCTTAAAGACACATTCTTATTTTTCTTTATTTTGTTATTTTTTATTTATTCTTCCGCAAATAATATGCAATTAAAAAAAAAAGTTACATAGTGTAGCTCTACTATGAAATGCCATTTAAACAAAAATCTTTTAGAATATTTTTTTCTTTTACAATTTATTTTAATGGCACTAAGATATTTTATAATACAATATAATATTAAATGTATTAGCAACAATCAAATAACTAAAAATATACATAGTTGGGTATGTTCAGCCTGGTCTGTAGAGCAGAGAGGGAAATCACGCGACAGCCTAAGAGGTTTTAGCTCTCTGTAGGGTGTGGGACTTTTGGATAGGCACAGCAGTAGCCCTGCTGTAGGCTGTTAAGTCATGGATATAGTGGAATCCTCCCACATTATGTGAGACAGCAGACCCCAAAATAGGACACTTATGCCTATTAATAGTAGTATAAATCCAATGATGGTGTTAAACTCTTTTATGGATCAGCCGTTCACAATAAAAAAATGCAACAAAAACAATTAGCAATAATAATAATAATAAATAAATACTTGGATCAGTGACTGACTCTCACACATCATACTATATTTGAAGTAGCTAATATGTATATCCCCGTTCCATCAGATGTAAACAATTCCCTGCAATGCGGCATTTTTGACCATTTTCTAGACACTGCACCGGTAATAAAAGAGAGCAGCATCTTCTCTCTGAAATTCAAAATCAGACTGCAAGAAAAAAACTTTAATTTTTAAATTAACACCAGCCCTCACAACGCTTTCCATGTTGAACTACTCATTGAATGATATCTTTCAATCAGCTGTGTTTTGAAGGTATAGCCCCATGTGTTTTCATACACAGTTGCACATGTGTATGTGTGTTTGTATTGACAGGTGTGAGGTTTAGATGAGGTTTAAATTTAGCCATTGGCTTTGTGGGTGTCTCTAATAAGGGCTATTTACGGAGTGTTACCAAGTGTATATGTGTTAGTATCATTGAAGGCTTGTAGGGATTCAGAGCTCTAACCCACTAACCTTGGCAAATGGCTTCTCTGGCAAGTGATTGCATATGTGCAGCACACGCAACAGCTGCCTTAGTTATTATTGATATAGTGATGATTTTTATTTTTGTGGATCCAAACAGGCACCACACCAGAATAACTGGCCATACTCAGAGTTTAGATAAGCAGGATGTACACAGACAACCCACTCTTTCCTGCATACTCACATGTATACATACATACATAAAAACATGCTCAGAAACATGTAGAGTATGATATAATAATAATGGAGAAACATGCATGCATTGATTAAATAAACAAAATCATAAAATTACGAGTGTTATTTGATAAGTGTTAAAAATAATTAAATCCAAATACAAATGGCTATTTGGAATTCTGATTTAACCCCAGAGCTGAAAACCAGACTCGTTGGGGGGCCCAGGCCATACTGGAGAGGCTTATAGGGCCAGTAGAACATCAGAAAATCAGACATAAGAATGTGGAATCATGTTCTCACAATGGCAGGGGCTTGGAATGCTACAAGGATTCGGAAGTGCTGTGAAGTT